CTTTAGTATGAGTTTCTGCGGAGTACAGTGTTTATATACTCACGCTCCCACTATTTTTATTCTTTTTCAGGAGACAGGGTCGGTCCGGAGGAGTGAGTGGAGCTGGTGGTCATCGGTCCAGTGCATGTAAATATGTATATATTTTTGCAGACCGTTGATATGTATATAATTGCCACGTTTTACTTCCGCTGACGTTTTCAGACTTTCAAACTAGCGTGTAAATTTTCAGACGACGATCCGAGCTTTCGGGTCTAGTTTTGTAAAGTATCACACGCTTGTTTTATAATGATAATCCGTTTTTCATAAATGGGTTTATAGTTAACGGATTGTTAGAAAAGAAATATTTTATGTAGCATCCCGATATATATTTCGCAAAATAACATGTAAACTTTAGAAAGAATTTGCGAAAATTGCACTCTGATTTTAGTAAGCTAGTGGGGTGTTACAATTGGCGAAAAAGTAACAAAAAATCCGAGAAGAGCGTCGGAAAGTAAAGAGCGTCGGAGAGCTTGTAATGCTTTATGTGCCGGAGAAGCAGAGAGTTCGAGAAATCTGGTTGCGAAAAGTGAAGACAAGAAAATGAGAGGGGTACTTATAGGGAAGGTAGAGAAACCCTAGCCCTCAGATTAAAGTCAGATCCAACGGTTGACATGGTGCACGGAATACGAAGCGGCAGAGAGAGAAAGCATCTTATCAGGTTATAAGACCCCTTTGGTTTTGAATTTTGAAATTCGAAAAGAAGATTCGAACATATCCAATCAATGCGGGATTTATAAGGCAGAAGAGCTGTTTATGAGTCGAAATATAGATGGACTAGATGATATAGCCATACTGTTGTATAACGGTTTAGATATTATGGAGTCGACTTACCCGAAGTTGACTCTTCCCGCGGACTTGTAATATCTCCAGTCTGTCAGGGTCTACTGATGATTGAAGATGGTACAGTCGACTCGAGTTGATATCCGAGTCGACATAGGACGTCTCGAGGATCATAGATCTCTGACGACTCCTGTAAATTTCAACAAATCGATGGCCCAGTCGACTCGAGTTGATACCCCGAGTCGACTTAGGACGTCTCGAGGCTCATAGATCTCTGACGATTCTAGTATACTTCAACATATCATAGCGAAGCTGTCAAGGATAAGAAGGAAGCTATTAAGGATAAGAAGGAATCTAGATGCTGACTAGGAGATGGACGGAATGCGAACCGATCAGGGTATTTTGGACATTTCCAGTAAGTCGGCCGGGGCATTTTGGGAACTTCAGGTAAATGTTTTGCTCCTATATAAAAGAGCTGAGGTAACTCCAAAACCCTAACTCCCATTCATTCTATACTTTCCTCCATTATTGCTGCTGCTCTTTCAGAGCAGCTCTCTTCATCCCTTTCACATACTGACTTGAGCGTCAGAGGCTCTACGCCGGAAACCCCTCCGGTGTTGTGTTCTTGCAGGTGTTCTCTAGCGTTTCAGCAACGGTTTGAAGGTGATCGAGGCAGATCTGAGCTCATTCCCATCGGTTCATTTCATATCTGAGCTTGTTTCTATTGATTCACTCCAGATTTGAGGTGAGACCCATCACCTTGTTACCGGAAACTGAAGCTTTGGTCGCTGGTGGCTCAGGTCTGTTTGGCCGCGTCTAAGACCGTCACTCAACTGCGATGAAGGCCTGCTATCGGCCACGTGTTCCGTGTGTTCGCCACCCACTCCCTCAGCCGCGTTTGGTAGTTCTCGGTCGGCGCTGGTGCTAGATTCTCGTCGGAAGCTGCTGATGGCCGAGGAAGATGACCGAGGGATCAAAAATGAGAGGCAGCTGGTGCCTCAATCCCCTTAAATAGGGAGCCTTGGCTTGAAATAGGGAAGAATTAGGGCATTTGAAAAAGAGAGAGTCGTGTGGTGATGATGGTCGAGTATCGGGGGAAATTGTTAGAGCATCTCCAACACACCCGGTAAACCCAGTGAAAACACCTTCCATAGAGAAAAATTATTCAACCAAGCTCTGTCCTTTCCGCTATTTTAGAGGGAGAGGTTTGTGGAACGGTTTCACACCGTTCCACTGTTCATTCTCTTAACTTTTTTTTTTGTTTTCTTTTTCAGTAAAAATAAAGTGGGCTGACCAATTTTGAGCAATGGATTGGGGTTCTTTTTGTTGTTTTTAACTACAATTGGGCTAGATTTTTTTAATAATTTAATGGATTAAATTAAAATATTGTATAAATTTTATTTAAACTTAGTAATTGTATCTAAATATTATAAACGGACAAGTTAAATTTTATGGTTTTAAATTTTTTATGTAAATTTATTAAAAGTATTTTTATGTCAATTTTATGAGTGAAATTAAAGTATTTTTATTAAAGTTTTAAACTTAATTATTGCAATTAATATGGTAGAAATTTAAGTAGTATAATGAAAAATTGGATACTTTTATTAATTAATATTATAGAATATTAATTAGTACTTAAATTCACTTAAATAAATATTTCAAACAAACAAGTTAAAATTACAAAATAAGGATAAACATTCAACACACTTAAAATTAAAGTACAAACACTAAAATTAAAATCACAACATAAAAATAAACTAAAAAACTCATCTTAAAGCTCACACATACTACAACAACATTAATTACACATAATAATAAAAACTAAAAAAGGATTATCAAATAGACGATTTCATAGACTTAATTGTCACTATAATAATCTTTCAAATTTCTTCCGTCATGCCCGATGTCGTCGAGAAATCCAAATTGACCCGTGTTAGATGATGGTTGTGTTGCTTGATATTGTTGTTGCTCAATTTCTCTTTCTTGTAAAATTTGCATTTGTTTTTGTTCCCAATGTCGACATATCATGGGATTCGTAACGGAATTCAAATCTATCATCAAAATTCTATCTTCATCACTCTTTTTCTGCAAATCGATTTGTTGTTTCTGCAATTGAAGCTGGATATTTTGACGTTCATCGGCTTTCTGCAACAAATCAACAATAGTATCACTTTTAGCATTTAGAGTTTGAAAATATTGGCAAAATTGGTCTTCATTTTTCTTCTTGAATCTTGCTTTCTCCGCTCCCATTGGACGTTGAGAGGATGTTCCACCAACACCATCGTCGCTTTGTTGAGGACTAAAAGACGACAATCCCGGAGACTCTAGTGTTGGTTGTCCATCATATGGAACGTCGAACTTGGAAGAGTCATTGAGGCTATCGAAATCCCGACGACGAGATTGTGGTTGGGACACATTATCATCAAATTTACCAAACTATTTGAATAGTCGGAACACATGATGAAACTTGAAGCCATCTTTATATTTTGGGTCTTGTTCAATCAATCGTTCGGCTTGCTCAATCTACAAACAAAGTAAAAGATATATAATTGTAAGTATACTTATAAAACAAGCAAATAACATGAATCGAGATTGAACTTAAAACAAAATACTCACCCTATCTTGGATTTGTGTCCCACTAGGATTGCGATATTCAATTTTCTTCAAGCATCCATTAAACCTCTGACAATGAGTTTCCATGAGACGGTAACGAGAGTCAAGGGACCTCATAGAGCGTTCTGGTAAATCTTTGTGTTTCTGGGAGTTGTATTCATCATGTATTTTTTTCCAAAAGGTTGAAGAATTTTTATCATTTGACGATATTGGATTTTGTGAAACATTTATGTAACATCTAACAATTAAGACATCTTCCGGTTTGGAGTATTTTGGCCCTTTTGAAGAAGACGTTTTGAAGAAAATAAGAAATTGAAGAAGAGTGGGAACAAGAAGACTACAATAATGGAAGAAGAAATGAGATGTGTGTAGTTACTCTTGAAGTTTTTGCGGAAGAAGAAAGAAAAAAAGAGAAAGATAGATAAACGAATTCACATGACATCTTCAAACAATAATGCGTTGGTCAAATTAATGTAGTGTAAACTTAAAAATATAGTGTAATAATGTAGTGTCCAATGGCATCACATGGCATCACATGACAATGTCCAATGCCAACTAATCAATGTCATCACATGACAGCTTAATACAATAATGCGTTGGTCAAATTAATGTAGTGTAAACTTAAATATATAGTGTAATGGCTTTGTCCAATAATAATGTAGTGTAATAATGATCACATGATCTTGTTCGAAATAATTCCATTTGGCATTGTGTTGGTCAAATTTTTTTTCACATGGCATTGTCTGAAAAAGAATCCAATGGTTAGAATCGAATCCAATGATCACATGACATTGTCCAACGTAATATAACATTGTGTAATAATGATCACATGACCTTGTTTAAAATTATTGCATTTGGCATTGTGTTGGTCAAATTTTTTTCACATGGTATTGTCTGAAAAAGAATCTAATGAAGAAACAATATATTTCTTTTATTCATCCATTCGTCTATATAAACATGAAACTATACATGATATCATCTAAGCTAAATATAAATTCATTATCAAATATTTCTGTAATACTTCCCTCTAATATCATTCACAATGAATTATCTTCCCCCTTATAATTATGATTCTGATGAGGAAGATGCAAATGCTTCTTTGCCTCTTTTTGATAACACTTTGGAATCAACCACCACTCATATATTGCAAACCAATAATTTTTTTATGGCACATGCTCTCTCCGTGCAAAGTAGCCAACCAACTTGGGGAGGTTCTGTTCCGGGACATAGTGTAGTCCATCGTGATCGGGAGGAGGCTCATCGCACACTGTTTCGAGATTATTTTAGTAGTTATCCAACCTACGATGAAGATACATTTCGACGAAGGTTTTGGATTTCTATTCATAATTTCAAACGTGTTATGCGAGCATTGGAATCATGATAGTTTTTTCCAACAACGTCGGGATGGTCTTGGTCGACTTGGATTGTCAACATATACAAAAAGGACAGCGACGCTTCGTCAGCTGGCCTATAAAACTCCAGCAAATGGTGCCGATGAATATCTTAAGATTGCTGAGTCAACGGCCAATGAATGCGTAAAGAGATTCTGTCGTGGAGTCACTGAAGTTTTCAGAGCACAATATCTGAGATCACCAAATCACGATGATATCGCTAGATTGCTTCATATTGGTGAACAACGTGGTTTTCTAGGTATGTTAGGTAGTTTAGACTGCATGCACTGGGAATGGGAGAATTGCCCTAAGGCATGGGCTGGTCAATACGCTGGACGTTCCGGAAAGCCAACAATCATTTTGGAAGTTGTGGCAGATTATAATCTATGGATAAGGCACGCATATTAGTGTATGCCAGGTGCGAATAATGACATTGATGTGCTGGAAGCATCACCTCTAATGTCAAATCTTGCTGAAGGTATCGCTCCACCAGCTAATTACACCATTCAAGGTAAACAGTTTAATATGGGCTATTATTTAGCAGATGGTATATATCTAAAATGGTCCACTATTGTTCAGTCTTTTGTTGCACTATCAAATCCAATGGACGATACATTAAAATGAGACAAGAGGCATGTAAAAAAGATGTTGAGCGCCCATTTGGAGTTCTGCAAAAAAGGTTTGCAATCGTCGCGGGTTCTGTTCGTTTTTGGAAAAAAGAGGTGCTTAATGATATGATTAAAACATGTATTATTTTGCACAATATGAATGTCGAAGAGCAACGGGATCTTAGTGCATTAATTAGAAGTGATGTTCAATTCGGTGCTCCTACGGTTACTCCAGCACCGCGAGATCACGTCTCTTTTCAACAATTTCTTGCTCGACACAAAAGAATAAAGGATAAGTCTGCCCACTATGGACTTCGTAATGCATTGGTTGCACATTTGTGGGAAAAATATTCTCATGGCAATAACTAGTGTTGTATTTTATTTTCTGTAGTTCTTGTTGTATTGAATGCTTCATGTTTGTGTTGATGTTTTTTTTTTCAAATTAATGTTTGTGATGAAATCCACTTCGTTTTATGATGTAGTGTGAAATTTTATGATTTTTGATTTAAATTTAGTAATTAATCTTATTAATCGATAATTAATATATATACGTAAATATGTAAATTTTAGCAAGCATAAATGCATTAAAATGTAATTTGTAGAGATTATTTAATAAACTAATTAAATTAGAAAGGAATATTCTTGAAATATTCTTTTAGAGGCAAATTATAGAGGGAATGAGTTGGAGTTGTTGGCACTGTTGAAACTGTATAACTAGTAGGATTTTACTGTAGAAATTGTAATTATAGAGATTGTGGTTGTAGATGCTCTTAGGGCTTCATGGAGCTAGTGG